TAAGACATCCATAAGTCTTCCTGCATTATTTGCCTTAGATTATTAATTTCTCTGCCTTCCAATAAATTCATGTTGTTTTACTTTAAGTACAAAAAAAGGAAATGTAGTTTCCATGACCTAAATATCTTGGGTCACTATGATTTATCTTTCCTGATAATTCTTATTTTGGTTTCCACTTTCCATGGCTCTATCAACATCATAAGGGTCTTATTCTTTTTTCTCTCTGATACATTTCTACACCTTAGGTAGGATTTACTCAACTTACTGTTTAAGCTTTTAGCCATTACCTGCTTTTCATGATAGGTTTGATTCATCTTTCAGTCCATTTAGAGAACTGATAGTGCCAAGCATGGTGGTTTGTGCCTTTGAGGCAGAGGCAGGGAAATCTCTGTGAGATCAATTCCAGTCTGGTCTACAAAGTGAGGTCCAGGCCAGCTGTGGCTTTAAGGGAGACCATGTCTTTAAAAACAAAAAAGAAACAAAAAATAAAGCAAGCATTGATCTTCACTCCCTACAGGAGGAGGGAGAGAAGAGCAATGCACGATCTAATTGCTCCATACACCAAGTGCATCCTTCCCCCCATTTCGGTATGAGGTTGTTCAATTCCATGGAGTACTGGTGGGAACAAGAAATGGATCCTGACAGTCCTTATGAGGACATTATCACAGACCATAAACATTGACACAAGGGTGTTTAATTTCATGTTAATATGGGCATTATAAGAAAACATCCCTACTTAAACTTTATTAATGCCATATTTGTATAGATCGATTTTTAAAAAATATTATACTTTTATTTTTATTTTATGTGTATGTGTGTATTGACTGCTTGTAGGTCAGTGCACCATGTCATGCAATGCCTGCAGAGGACAGAAGAGGCTGTTGGATCCCCTGGAACTGGAGTTAGGACAGTTGTTAGCTGCCATTAGAACCTGGGTCTTCTGCAAGAAAAGTCAGTGTTCTTAACTGCTGAGCCATCTCTCCAGCCCCTAGAACAATTTTTTAAATAAGAAAACAACACTTGTACATATTTTACTATTTAACTGGTTCTACTTCTCCTTTCTGTCTCACATTTATCACCTATCTGAATTTGATATGAACGATTTCCAGACATATAGTGAAAATTTAAAAATATATGTGTATAGTCTGTTGTCAATAACCATATACATATTTGTTTGATTTTTGTCCCACATCATCTAACAATTCTCTAGTTCATTCAACAAAGATTTTTTTTTTGCCTTCCTTCCTTACTGGCTTTCTTTCTTCCTCCCTCTCCCATCCCATTCTTACTGTCTTAGAACAATGAACATGTAGAAACTATTATATCTTCGTGGGTATGTTTATTGATCACAGGGAATTTGTTTTCTGAAATTAAAAAAAAAATATTTATTATTTTTTATTTTATGTGTATGCATGTATTGCCTGTGTGTACATAAGTGCACCTGTGTCATGCAATGCCCGTGGAGATCAGAACAGGCTGTCGGATCCCCTGGATCTCCTGGGACTGGATTGATGGGCAGTTGTTAGCTACTATGTGGGTGCTGGGATTCAAACCTGGGTCTTCTGTAAGAAGAACCAGTGTTCTTATCTGCTGAGCCATCTCTCCAGCCCTGTTCTCTGACATCTTATAATGCATCCACTCTGGGGAAATGCCACAGTGTAGTGATGCCTGAATAAAGACAGCTTACCTCTTACAGTAATTTAAAACAAGGATGAGTCTGATTTGTTCTTAGAACTGTTACCTTCTGATTTCTATTGGAAGTGTTCTAGCCAAGGGCACACACTCTCTCTTTATTTAAACAGTACATCCAAATTACATGGGAAAGGAATGAGGAGCTTCTTATCAAGGAAGAATTTTCCTTGCCTGACTCCCTATTGACCCAGAGCATACACAGCCACAAACAGATGCTATCAATCTAATATGACCTATTATTTGCTAAATAAAGTATGGATAACTCATTACTTCAAAAGCTGTTGCATTCAGAACTGATAAATTCACAACACACACACACACACACACACACACACACACACACACACACACATTATTCTGGGCCAGGGGCAAGGAAAGGTTATGCAGGAGAGATGGGGTACATAACCTAAGATTAAAGCTAATTGATTAGCTTAGTGTGTAAAAGTTGATTACAAGAGAAGTCCATGCCCTAGTAAGATTATTTTACATGATAAACAAGCTGAGATGGTGTTAAAAGATCTCAAAATATAAGATTAACTTTTCTTACAAGGTTATGTAATACAGAAGGTCTTTCCAGAAAAGTCATCCCCACACATGCTCTTTTAATAATTTTGACTCTCAGGATTATCATATATAACACTCTCTCTCTCTCTCTCTCTCTCTCTCTCTCTCTCTCTCTCTCCCCCTTTCGGGTTCTCTGTTTTGCTACAAGTGCTCTTTGCCATAGTGTACTGTGAGAGGCATCACTTTGCTAAGTGGTTTCTTATCTGGTCTGATTTAGAGGCTATGTCTATTTGCATGTGTTTCTGTGAATAGGCCCTTTCATGCAAGTAATATACTTTTTTCTTTAAAACTTTTCCCTCTATGTATTCTGGGGTCTTGTAAGTGAAAACTGACTTAAATATTAGTATGTTCAGTATCCCTGGTCCAGGAGGCCTGCATTTTTTTATCTTTCACATTATTATCCAGGTATTCATTGTTTGTGAAGAAAAAACAATCTGATCCTTCACATAACATAATTAGTATAAAGGCTGCAAGGTTTGTATTTCCAATCGTTATTAATAGGTAAAAATCCAAAGCTCAGAGGAAAAGTGGAGGAACCTTACTAGTACAACCATGGCTTTTGGTCAAACATATTTTCAGCTCCGAACTGGGACCACTATGTTTTTCTAACATGATAAACTGTTGCTGGTATAATTATAAACCTCAGAGTTGTGAAACATTTCCAGAAATATGTTAAAACATCTTTCCCATGATGTAATTCTATGAGTAGATTCCCCATGCTTGGAACGATTTATATGATATAAGTATTCATTATTTTTTAATGTTTGATGTGACTATCTTCCTGTAGTCCCACCTGACCTGGAACTCACTGCATACACTAGGCTGGCCTGGGACTTCCTATATAGGTAGAGATTCACCTTCAATCACAGAGATACACCTGTCTCTACCCCCAAGTTCTGGAATTAAAGGCATTCACTGCCATGCCCAGTATAAACATTCATTTTTAAGGAAAAAAAATAAATGCTGAGAATTTTACACTTACCATTTTTAAATTGTGTTTATACTTTGAAGAGGAAGTCATTAAATGTTAGTTCCAAGACATTTAATGTCCATAAAATATTATGGAAGACATTTTATTTTTAGTATGTGTTTGTATGTGTGTAGAGGTATCTTTGAAATTGGTCTTCACCTTCCGTCTACTTTGAGAAAGCTTCTCTTACTGTTCACTACTGTCCAAACCAGGCCAGCCTGCCTGTGGGCTTCCCAGTATTTTCCTCTCCGCAGCTCCCATCCTGGTGTAGAAGCAATGACATTACCAAGTCTCACTACTGCGTTCATCTTTATGTGTATTTGGAGGATCTAAACCCAGGTCTTCATGTTACAGAGTAAGTTTTTCATTGTGCATCTCCCAGACCAGGCAGTTTTAAAATATAATAACATAATTAATAAATTTCAGGTACAATAATAATCTATGAAAGAATTTTAGTCATTAAAATAAGTTTCAACACCTAGAAAATTATAAGGCTTTCCTAAATATGTTTTCAAAGTTATGCTTATGTATATTAAATACAATGAATTAAATATATCTTTATGCAATTGTCAAATTTTCACAATAAAATAATCAAATCAAATAATTGAAAATAAATAAACTATCCTTTTTGAAATTTCAAAGCAATTGAAATATGAATATCCATATAAGATTTGAATCTGCCAAGAAAAACAATTAAAGGTCACCTGTAGTATGGAAATCATTAGATTGTTAATTGGAATGTTTGAGAGAACTAAATGTATGATGCCAAGCTAAATGCAATTGTTGTCACATACAATCACAGCCAAAATATGCTCTTATTAGTAGAGCAGACGAGAGGGCTAGTACAAATGGGGAATATAAATAAGATTCATTTTTTCATATTAACTTTGTATGCCTGAATGCACATTTGAGTATCCTTGTTACAGTATTTTAAAGACAAAGCAAGGAGAAAATGTGTTTGCTACATGTATGCAGAAAAGGGATTAAATGTTTCCCCCAATACAGATCTATTGTTGCTTCCCTTTTTGGATTCTACGCCAACTCGTAAATCCCAAACCATAGCATTTACAAGTAATCAACAGGAAAGACACTTTGGAGAGGAGAGTTGATTTTTATTGAAAAATTATGTGTGCTAATTACCTCAGTTGATCCCAAAGAGCAAACAAGTTTTATAAATGGTGGAATTAACAATTAATGTAGATTCTGAATAATGATGGACATTTGCAGTTACTAACTTGTGTTAAATAAAATTAACTTAAAAAACACCAGAGCACTCTAAAATTATGCATATTTTTCTGCCTATCTTTTGGAATAAACTCATAACAAGAGGAAATATAACTTTTGCAATGTATCTTGATAGTTTTATTAATGTGAGATGATTTCAAACATTGCATCTTCTTTCATGACTCTCTCTGGGACATATTTTTCATTTTCCCTAATTTAAATATATTTTGTCTCCTAGCAGTTGCAACAGCTATCATAAGCTTGTTTGTCAGCTAAGATTTCTCTTAAAATTTGCCCAAGAGCATATTACATGTACATTTCTTATTTAAAGGAATGCTTCTGAATAAATTCACTAAATTTTATTTGTACATATGGTTCTATTTTAAATACAAGCTATTCACTGATCATAACACATTAACATCAAATTGAGTTTGAATGCTGATTTGCAAGCTGTTACTGAGCATATAGGAGTAAAACAAAATGAATCACGCCTACACCACATCAGTCAAAGCAGGAAACACAGAAATCAAGAAAATATACTGATGTTCACCTTCATTGTCCTTAATGGTGAAGTTTGGGTTCATGGAAAGACGCTCATCAAGAAAGAAGCTAAATCTTGGTCCATTGGCAAAGTCATCTTTATCAGTGGCAGTGATGGTGTGAATAACCTAATGAACAGAAAAATACTAACAGTAAGTTTAGTCTGGTTATTTCCTAGATTTTAATTATACTGTATCATTTAATCATTTAAGTTGTTAATAATTAAAGACATTTTTAAAGATACATTTTTCCAACACAAGTGTTTAAAATTAAATTCATCAAAATATATATTAACTTGTTCACCATCCAATTTGATTGTAGGAAAAACTTTATAGTATAACTTACAATGTCCACAGTTTAATTTCTACCATGGTACAAATACTCTAAATTTGTTTTCTTTGTGACTCACAATACCTTGGGGCTAATTGGTCATAAGATTTTGGAGAAACAGGAAGCATTGCAGTATTGTTTACATGAATTTTAACAATCTGTCAATACATGTAGAAATAGTCTACCCCCCACACACACACCTTTTTGGATTCAAAGGAACTGGAAATAATGGTCAAGGGCCTATGCTTCAGAGAGAAACATGAGTCACCCAGGGATTGTAATATGTTCTAAAATCTCTGAGAAATTGGCACAGGCTACAAAATAGTTCTCAGAAATTTACTAATAACCTTTCATCTCTAATGGTCAAAACAAAACGATCCTAAAATCTGTGCTTAATATGCATTGATGAGCAGAGTAAGTTAGAATACACGGGTATGGTAGCTTGATGAGGTGACCTCCAAAGACTTGAGCACTTGAAAGCTTAGCTGGTAGTGCTGTTTTGGGAAGGTATGGAGTCCCAAGAAGGTGCAGCCTTGCTGGAGGGAGCACATCAGTGGAGATGCCTTTAAGAGCTCATAGTCTCATCCTGTTACCAGCTTCCCTCTGCTTCCTGTGTCTGCTTGAAGATCTGAGCTCTCAGCTTTCTGCCCATGCTGCCTCCTGCCACACGTCCCTGCCATGACAGATTCATATCCTTCTGGAAGTGTAAGCCAAAGAAACACTTCCTTCTATAAGTTGGTCATGGCATTTATTCACAACAACTGAAAAGTAGCTAATAAAGTGGAGGAACAAAGCATTCTAATGATCACTAAAGACCTAAAAATAGATATCCAAACAAATAGACAAAATTATATATTCCTATCTTAAAAATTATTTACCTATTATGGGCTTGGTGGTGTGGACCTTTAATCCCCAGCACTTGAAGGGAGAAGGGGGAAGGCAGAGGAAGAAGCAGGTGGAGCTCTGTGAGATGAAGGCCAGCCTGATCTACCTGCAACTTCTAGGGCAGCTGTGGCTAAAGGGACATCCTGTTTCAAAAGAAAGAAAGAAGGAGAGAGAGAGAGATAGAGAGAGAGAGAGATGGTTGGGAGGGATGGAGGGAGAGAAAGAGGAAGAGAAAGAGAGAGAAAGGAAGGAAGGAAGGAAGGAAGGAAGGAAGGAAGGAAGGAAGGAAGGAAGGAAGGAAGGAAGGAAAGAGGGAAGGAAGGAAGGAAAAAAGAAAGAAAAGAAAGGAGGAAGGAGGGAGGGAAGGAAGGAAAGAAAGAAAGAAAGAAAAGAAAGAAAAGAAAGAAAGAAAGAAAGAAAGAAATGCATAATACCTATAAATGGATTTTTCAGGGGAGTTTTATCTGCT